GACATGGCAGGGGGGGGAGGGGGGGGGGGGGGAGAGAGAGAGAGAGAGAGAGAGAGAGAGAGAGAGAGAGAAGAGGTCTGCTCTTTGCCCATGGCAGTAGGATGCTCAGCATCTCCCCAGTGATGCAAATTAACAAGCTTTGCTGCCAACTCTTTGCCACAGTGCAAAAGGTTTGCAAAACACAGCTCTGTGTCCAGATTCATTGTTCTCCCACTCCACTGTTGCTCAGCAGCGAGGAATATTCCTCTTGTCTCTTTCGCAGTCACAAGGGCAAAGAGAACAGCAGCAGGCAGGCAAAGTGAATCTTTCTAAAATTGCAGATGAGCGTGAACCTTGCTCCGGTCCCACCAAAGGCTCCCCAGTTAACCCAGTTTGACTCCCCACTGCAAAAGTGCCTGGATTTCTACAAATCCTGCAACCTAGCAGGCCTTAATCACACCAGCCTAGCCTATACAGTCATATCGAGCATCAGCTGGGAGAGGGCATAAAGCCTCTGTGAGCATTACCTCCACTCCTCAGCAGCTGGACTGTCACTTTCTTCTCCATCCCATTACAGCTGAAGGGACGGGACAAAGCTGCTGGGGAAAAGGTTGTTGGATATTTGCCTACCTGTCAACAATAAACAGAAGCAATTCACCGTGCAAGACACAGAAGACGACTCTACTTAATAACTGCTGTGGAAAAATGTAGATGACACATGTGTGGGGGCTGTCCAGTGCAAACCATGAGGGAGGGAGCAAAGTTCTGCCCTCATTTCTGTCATGGTAACAGAGCAGGAAGGGAATAAGCTGCAGCAGCTGCCACCACCAGCAAAGCAAATGATCCCCGAATCATTTCACAGGCACCAAATACTCCAGGAAGACTGGGACTTTACAGTCTTTCCTACAGAGGGACAGCAGCAAGCTTTTTCCCCTCACGGTCATTCACAAAGACAACAGACATGCAGGGGTCCTAGCGCCCTCGAGGGAGACTGAGTGCCTCCTAAAAGACCATCTGGATGCCACCAGCCATGTCACATGTGCTCCCCCATCCTACATGGACCTGGGCTGCCATTGCATGCAGAAGCTCTCTAGTTACCCTTTCAAAGGTCACCAGTACAGCACAGGTCAGAAATTTATCCCATTTATGCCCTTTTCTGACAACTCCACTCATTTGCATTACTGAGATGTGTCCGCGCTGGGAAAAAGTCCAGGTGTCAAACACCATGGAATATTGAAACGGACGACATGAGTGTCCCATTTAAACCACATTTTTACAACCCTCTTTTTTGCCTGGCTTTTACATTCTTACAAGCCAAAGTTGTAGGCCCAGTTACTTGAATTATTCTCAATATTACTTGGGACATAGATGTAAAAGAAGGGAGACAAGTCCAAAATATAACTGGGGGGAGGAGTATGAATCTGAAAGTCACACAAACAAAAAAAACCCCAACCAACCAACCAACACCCACGCACTACAACACTAAAGTTGCAGACACACAATTTCATGTACTTTTATTTCTGAATACCGTTGAGAGCTCTTGCAACCTCTGCCTTTCTAAAACTGTTCTGGGTGCATGTGGAGATATGCTAAGGTGAAAAATGAGCAAGAAAAACAGACATTCCTTTTAGCTCAAATTTCTCTAGATGCACATCCGAATGCCACATCAAGATACCAACTTCTGAACAGAAGAACACAACAATAAAAGCAACCTACATTAATTACAAAGTTTTAAATTAGCCACAAAGAAATAAAGTTATGATAGTAAACACATCCTTGTGGGGAGTCTAGTTTAAGTAAGAACTCTGGAAAACCTTAGGTGAAAATACTGTAATCTTGCTCTGTAGTTCTATATAAACAAAAGATACCAGTGTACAACTAATTATATGATTTATACCAACTTTGATACAACTCGTTCCTTTCATAGAAGCATGCAGTTCAGAATTATGTAGTCATACAAAAATTGACCTTCATTCATTTATTCAGATTTCGTATTTTACATTTATCATCTTAAAAGTGACAGAAAATTTTTTTTTTTACTGGATGGCTATTATTTCAATATGAAATTTAATTCAGTTAAGTAGTCATGGAAATTGCATTATCAACTTTTGTATGTTAGCTTTACTCACATATTTTAATCAAAATATATTTCACACTCAAAATTAACAAATTCAGTTTAAAAAACCCATTAAAAAGAAATCAGTAGAAAAATCCCCTGAATCTGTAAAATAGGGAGATTTAATTGACTGTTTCCAGCTAAGTGTTTCCACCAAGATTTTAGAACTAGTAGATCTTAGTCTTTCATGCATATGGTGTATTCAAAGATACAAGAACCCTTTTCTTAACTGAAAATTAGCTAATGATCATTGAAATTAATTAGCTGAATCCACTGAAATGGAGAAAGTATCCTTTCCGCCCCCATAAAACAACTGTGCTTTCAAAAGCTTTAAAACTTGAATAATGTGTAACCAGGGGTATAGCCAAGGACTTTAATTAGTTCAGCTGTCTCATGTTCTTTACCACTTGGGCAACAAAGGTGCTGCTCATGTTTTATTTAAATAGTTTAAATATATATTGTAGTAGTTTTAGCACATTTCGAAAGTATTTCTAGAAAGAAAAAAACAAGCTAAAAGCATGGATGTGTTTCTAAATAACAAACTATTATCCACTTGATTAACTCACTGCCTTGAAGAACAAAGCCCACCAGCTCCAGAGCTGGCCCAGACTGTGCAGTCAGAACAGAACGCCTGCATTGGTTGCTTTCCTTCTGCAACAAATATTTCAACAATAAGTACAAAAATGTGTTCTCTCGTTAACACAATGATTAAAATATTGAATATCCTCCAGATGTCAATTAACAGACATTACCAATCAAGCACAACAGCCATAGCAAAGCCAAAATGCTGGGGTCTCACTATGCCCAATTAAAGGTACAAGTTTAACATTGCAGATTTCCACAGTCCACAACTACATGGCATGACCTATTTTAAAAAGCCAGAACTTTTATCTGCACTGTAATATGCATCTCAAATCATTTTAAGGTTAAGAAAATGCCCCCTATCTACTCTAGTATTTTTTAATGTGTAAGATACTCACATATAAATGAACTTAAACACATAACCCACAAAAGCATCAGCTCATAATAGTCAATATTTTACTTCCTAACCTGAGAACATAAATAAATCATTTTATGTTGAATCTTCACAGAAGTCACTTGAAGCAATGGACATTTTTAGTCTTTACAGCGTGAAAGCAAAGCTCATTGCCATAGACAATGGGAATAACATTAGTAGTTTCCTGCTTTAGACATTCATCAAGGTTTGTAACAAGGAAGTAGAAGTGAAGTTCAGTTGCTTTTAGAATATATTAAGACAAATACACAGAACAACTGAATCTCTGGGCACTCCTCCTGCACAAAGGCAAATTCCTTGAATCAAGAGCAAGATTATCTACACCCCCTATGTTGCTAGGATGAAAAGTGCTAGGACATAAGCCACCCAAGAAGAGAGCACAATGAAAATATTCCTGTCATGGTACACCTCCAGGAACTATGAAAATAAACATTTTAATCACCTTCGCAAATCAGCAGATTCATCTTCCACTGTGAGATCTGTCTGTACCATCTCCTGTTTCAGTTCTCCGATTTCTGAGGCAATTGTGTCAATGAGCTAGAAAGGGACAAAAATAGTATGACGTCAAGTGAGTGGAAGAGGCGTGGAAAAGAAGCACGGGCAAGTTTAGTCACCAGAGATTACTTTTTTTTTTTTTTTTTTTTTTTTTTTTTTTTTTTTTTTTTTTTTTTTTTTTTTTTTTTTTTTTTTTTTTTTTTTTTTTTTTTTTTTTTTTTAAATCGCATCCTATTTGGACTTCCCCTTGCAAAGGAAAAAGTAAGGGTTGAGGCCACTTATAATTGTTCTCGGAGGAAGAATAATTCCTGTTTTGTGCCAGTACAAAACCTTCCAGGTTGGCTAGCTTTTTTATTTAAATATATTAAGTCTGTAGCCTCAACATATTATACAACAGCTTAAAAGAACTAAATGATTTGATCCTTTGTAGCATTTACTTTCCCAAACAAAAAGAAAAAATATAATTAGAAGAGTTTCATCTGCAAGAGTTATTTCAGAAGGGACACTAAGGCCAGCATTACAATGTTGTGGTGGATGAAAAGTAACAAAGCAAGGAAATGGGCGGCTGCTTTTCACATTAGGTCTTGGACTGCACTTGAACAGAGAAACTCAATTAAAAGAGAGGTGCCTTGTAACACTTCGGCTCAGGTGGAACACAGTCTTAATTTTGGACACGAGGGCAAGAACTCATTTTAAAGTGGGCAAGATTAGCACTAGGGCTGTATCCTGAGAAACACAGCATTTGCTAGCCAGATGTTTGGGAAACGTTTTGTTGAGCAGAAACCAACTATGAAGTTTGCAAGGCACACTGTCTTGGACATTCTTTGCAGCAACTGCATCAAGTTTGCTTGACACCACACCATAACAGTATATAAACCCTGGCAGTGTTCCCCCTCTACTGCCTGTAGTGAAACCTAGTGAAAAACTTTGCAGTGATGCCATCTCCTCTACCACCACCCCCGCGCCTCAGAGCAAACAAACAAAAACCCTGGCAGACTAAGTAAAAACAGCTTTGCAGTCCAGTCTTCATAGTCACCCACAAGACACGACCCTGAGTCCCACTAGTGTTAAGTAGCTCAGTACAGCAGCATTTTCAAAAAATTGCAGGCAACGTTTTCCTACTGTTTTATTGGAAGTTTTCCTCTACCTCAGAAACTCACACCCTCCTTTGCCGTGCAGCATTATTCTGATCAAGTCAAAAAAAGTTTCAGTCTCCGCTTACAATAGGCCAACTCCATTAAGCATACCTTAAGTGAGAATGAGTTACCATACACTACATCCATACCATAGGCTTCTTTCTGTCAAGGTCAGAGCTCCCAGCCATACTGTACCACTGGCATTACAGTTTTCAAAGATCTTCCACTGGTTGACTCCCAAACACGCCGAGTCACTGCGGCAAGATGTGAGCAATGCTTTCCTGACCATGAGAAAGAGCAGCAGGAGGAACCCACGTCGTCCTGACGGAGCAGCCTCGCACCTCACTGCAGCACTCAGCACCCCTACGAAACAGCACCTCCACAAAGGAGCCGCCGAGTGCCCTGCTAGGCACAGGTAAAATCATTCCTCCTTTTGCATAAGGGATGAATCCAGCCCCCACATTGGCTTTACACAGTGAAAAATACACGTCATTGCTGTCGGATGAGCCTCACTAGAAAGCCATTGCATCATCACGCACGTCTGACAGTGGTTATGGACAGCAGCATCACCTTAGAGGGAAGCTTTGACCTGGGTGCTCAGAGAGCAGTACCAGGCTCTAGCCAGTACACAACTGACTGCATCTTGCAGATCACACTGCTTTGTTTTTTTCTCTTTTAAAGCCTCTACCGCCTTAGCATCATCATCCTTAATACATTTATTCTTGTAATCCTCTGAAATGCAATATAGCTGCAATTCTCACCGACCTGATGGAGGGGGAGTTTCATGCTATGGTGTGCTGCCCCAAACAGCAAGGTTCCACTTCTTCCCTTGGGCTGTCTTGGCTGTTCATCTAGCCCTGTTAGCTGGTTCAGCTTGCTAAAAAGTTGGAAGACTTTTTCACTTTGTCTTTTGGTTAGATTTCTGCTGGCTTAATGACCTGAACCTAATCTCTAAGGGGGTCAGACAAACTCCAGAGCAGACACCAGGAAACAGAGGACAGCACCAGGCTGCCCCTTTCAGGAAGGGCACTAGATCCCATCAGCCCAATGTGAAATCATGCCCTGTTGCTCAGCCACCCCAGCAAATAGCCCAGGATTTTGGGCTGTTCATGCTGACCTTGGAACAGAGAACCTATGCCCTGGTTTAGGCACCCTAAGCTAGCCAATAACTGGATCAGCCACCCTGAACTCTGCAATCTGACCAGGACACCTCTGGAATTCAGACCACTCAGGTCTTCCAGCTGTCTACATAGTAGCAGGAAACATGCTTTTGGGCTGACACTTACTAATGAAAACAATAACTACCAGCATCTACAGGGAATAAAAAGCTGCACACCCCTATCACGCAACTGTACTTGGTGTGGGTGTGTGCATGTGACAGTCTAAGAAACAACTCCCAGGATATTTAATCAAATATTTTTCTTTTTAAAGTAACACCTGAAATTATGATAAGCCATGCCAAGATTTCAAGTCAACCATTAAAAGAATGAAATTTAAATAAATTTTTTAATCACGTGGATTGCTGTTCAGGTTTTAAAGAAAAAGAAAGCAATTGATCTATGGAAAGTCTCTGGCTACAAACCCAAACTACAGCTGATGTACTTAACCAATTTTTTTAACAGCAATCCTTCTGTACAGTAATCCTTCTGGCACCTGTAGAGAGAGATATCCACTAATTCAGTTCAATAGCCAATTAATTCCACACAGAGAAGCTGACTACAAGTGTAAAAAGACAGAAAAATTGCATTTGTCTTCCAAGCTGTGACTAAGCAGTACAAGGGGAAGGATCAGCTCTACTAGGCCTAAATCTCTGATGAGCAATCCATTACAGCGTCTAGCTACAATAATCACTCTTAAGCTATTCAGTTAGTTTCAAACACGAATGTGCCTTCTTAAAGTTAGTTCTAAATAACTAATGGCATTCTAAAGTACTGACACAATGGATTTCTTGTTATTTGTATCCAGATGTATGAAACACAAGTTAAAAAACCCTAATAAATATATGTTCGGAAAGAAATACACAGTTTGCCATTTTTACATAAGGAGCATGACAAGCATACGGAAAAAACGGAGCACACCTTTGGTGAACAAAATCCATTCCAGCTTTAATTACAGCCTATCAATTACTTAAGTCAGGATTTCCTCTTCCTGGATTAACATCACATTTCATAACTGATGGCGCTTCACAGTGGAACATACAGCCAAGGGGCTTTCTTTATTAAAGAGAAGTTCCAATGCCAAAACAGAAGCAAAAAATATTAATTTTTAAGTACCTGCTGAATTTCCCCAATCTTCATTCATTATTAGGCTTGCTAAGTGCAATGAGGTAGTCGAACACAACCATACAAGTTGTTACTGCTAAATAAGATACATACCGCTGATGCAAGTCTTACTATGTCTCTACAGCTTTTGCAGCCTTCTTATCCCTTCTGGTTCTGCTGAAGCTTTTCATTTTGCTTCCTTAAAACAGCTCATAATTGCTCAGCACAGTCTTCTGTTCGCTTTTTTTACTCCCTTATCCTTCACACCTTTACCTACATCTTGGCATACATCTTACCACTTCCCTGCCCTATATTTTCTGTCCTCCGTTCAGGAGCGACATGTTTCAACTTAGCCCGTTTTTCAAGTACGCAAACATGACTTGCAAATTTTAATTTACTTCAGTGCCAGGAAATGGAACTTTTAGATGAAGAAGTAGATGGACTTAAATTAAGGCAATATCATTCTCTTCCCAGCCGCACTGGGCACTACATTTCCACCTTTCATATTAGCCTCCAAACAGTAGGTTTCTCAGATTAAACCCTCCCAGTCTCTCTGGCAGCTGAATGAGTAAAATGGAATTCATTCTCCATCTACTGTGAAGTTTCTAGTATTTTCAGATCTCCTAACCTCCCAACTGCTCCAACAAGGTAGCATGCAGCCCTTTCCTTGCTGCAGCAACTCTCTGCCACTGTTAAAACCTTTCCAAAGTTGCACCTGAACACAACTGAGAGTTGAATTATTGCTTGAACTGACCAGATTACAGCCTTTTCTCTTTTCCCACCAGATAGCCACAAAGGCTCTGACACTGCCTGTGGAGTCATGAACGCAGAGACGTCAGGAACAGAACTGCCTTATATGCTTCATCCTGCAGTAACAGCTAAAAAATTAACTTTGCTAATGGATGAAGCAAGGCTCAGTTTTTAGTTTTAAATCACAGCATTTCCCAAAGATGCTTCCTATTCACTGTGAGAGCGTGAAGTTTTTTCAAGCACCAAGTAGTCATGAATATGAGCAATTTAGCCAGCTGTAAATATATTAGAGCTTCCTGTCATGGCTTGCCTGGAGCCATCTCAGAAGGAAGGCACCACTAGTCAGCTACCAGCATGCAACATGAGTCAGCACCTGGAGTATCATTACAGATGGCAATTGATTCACAATGATCTGCAACTATATTTGACCATTTAAAATATGAACTATGAAATCACTATGTGAAGCTCAACTTATTATTAAACACTATTCAAGGATTTAATCTGTTAATGAAACAGACCTACTGTAGATAAGAGCTCTGCCGCATGCAATATTGAATAAGGTCAGCAGAGCAGCCTTTTCATTGAGTTAGCAATATAACTCTACTCCAGTGCTACATGCACTAGTCGCCCTGTCTGATCACCTGTTGCAGGGCCTGACAGGGGGATCAGAAAGGCCCAGGGAGAGCGTGAAACCAGAGGAATTACCCCCACCCCCAGCTCCTTCCATTGCACAGAGCATGGTAAAACCTAAGGCAAATCACACAAGCATCTTGAAGCCAGTCAATCTCAGAATAATCAAGCTGAAATTGACCATCTATTCATTTTTCAAGGGATTATTGTCAAACCACCCAAAGGGATTATGTCAGCTCTGCCTGGCAACAGATGTGTCTCTTTC